GTAATATAACAGCCCAGATTTCTTTACTTTCAAATAAGTAAACCTCACTGAAGAATTATATACATGTAATATAGCTGTCAGCCTGTCAAATCTATTAAACTATCCCATTTATCCATTCAACCTCTTAATGTCACTCTTGAACTCTGAATTAAAGAAAAAAAAGGCAAAAGCCCCTCTCTTAAGTACATGTCCATAAATACCTTTAGCTCCAGGTGGCCCCATACCATTATACTGTTTGCTCTGGTATGGTAACAGACAAAAACGTGGCAGTACAGCAACAGTCTACTTGAAAAGGGGTTACATAAGGCTACCTTATGAGTAGTTCCTTACTTCAGAGAAAACCTTCAGTTAGCTAAAAGACTCATGTGTAAGTTCCCGGCACCCTTTATGATCCATAACTTTTGACCAGAAAGTCGTAGTAACATGGAACAAAGAGCTACTTGAAGCTCTGGTTTTGCTAAAACAAATAGACTCCGCTTTGACCCTGTAGCTCCACCACAAGACAGTAAAAATCAATTTAGAAGGTTGTTATGCACAGTGTCACCATGGCAACCATAAAATTTCAAAATTTCTCTGCGCAAACTAAATGTCCAAGAATAATTCATTTGAAACACCCGTGGCCTGAAATGCGGATCCACGCGGATCAAATGCGGATCAGGCTGAAATGCGGATGAACGCGGAACGCTCGCGGATCTCTATTGAAGTACGGAACAACACGGAAACTATACGGATCTTTCTGCAAGAATGATAGCTATGCATCAGGAGAGAAATATATCAGGTCTGATTTGAGTCTTTGATAGGAACTTTATGATCTTGCAGTTTCAGTACATGCAGGTAAGCTGATGCTTATGATCACTATGTCGATAATATTAGCCTGTGTTTTATGATAGTTGAGATCTACAGATAAGCTGATATCCTCTTGAGCTATTCTCTTCAACTTTTGTAAACATGCAACCATTGCCTGTGATAATGAGAAAACAGACTACTACTAGATCTAACTACTGAGCAGTCAACACACTCAACATTAGCTCAGTGTGCCTTCATGCAGTCAAGAGACAAGTCAAGTTATTTTAAAGTGCTATCATGGCTGTACCCCCCAAGTTCAACATAGATGGCAAAGTGAACCATTGTCTGGGAATTCCAGTCTTTGTTTTTTATACTTTATCACTGTTATTTTCTAATTATTATTATTCATTCTGCATGACTTATAGAATTATTATATTTTTAATCTTTATTATCATTATTCAGCTAACTACTATTATTATTTATTCATTCCATCAATCATTCACAGTCGTAGTCTCTTAAAATTTTACTATTAGCTATTGTTACTTATTCATCATTTTTTTGTTTATTGATTTAATCTCATTGTATTTCCCAATTTCAGTGTACTATATGCTTCGGTTTTATAATTGCAAAATCTAATTAAAGTGAGATGAATGTATAAGAAATATAAATCATGTGAATAAAATTCACTTGATAAGGGATCTATAGCAGTTTAAATAAATTTGTACTGTAAATGGGAAATGTATGTATGAACTAACTTGAAAATTAATGACTTTTAATAACATCAAATAATTTTTTAATTGGAATGGAGTACATTTTATAAAGCTATAAAACTTCCATACGCCCGCAATGCCATTATAAAAATAGTATGCATTAATGTTATAATGAAGATTGTATTTCTCCACTTTTCAGTGGTGATTCATAACCAGAAATATTTCACTGTCTGCAGTACCTTGTGTATGACTATAGCTGTCTACATAAAAATTCAGAGCACTAATGTGTTGCAATAGAAACAGTTATACTTTCATTTCTCGTGGTAAAATAAAAATTCTTTTGTTATTCCTATTCAATCAAAGTTTGAAATATTCAGTTCATATATCAGCTGCTGCAGCAGTTTGCTATTGTGTTAAAGGTATAATATCACTGTGTCATTAAAAACTTATGAATTTATTATAATTATTTCTTAAAGGATCCATTATAAGATGTTATTGTTCTGAATCACATTCACACATAAATCTTGAAGTTATGGTCAGCTCAAGTAGATACTGTATATAAAAAAGAAATTGTAATCACCCCACCAAAATGCTTCATAGTCTTAATGAAACAATAATCAGCTTATATAGATCTAACTGTCATGAAAATTACTAGCAACTACGTTACTATGAAGTTTTATAGTCTAATTGAAACTACTATATCAGCTCTAACTGTCAGTAAAACTGACACTATAGTAAATGTAATCAACGAAAATAATATTATTGACATAAGATCTAATGATCATAAACAGCCTACCTGTTCTGAAACTGCTAAAATGATGAAGTTCTTATCAAAAACTCAAATAGAGCTAATAAAAATTCCCTCCTGATGCATAGATATCATTCTTTCAGACAGATCAGTCAAGTTTCAATAGAGATCCGCGAGCGTTCCGCGTTGATCCGCATTTCAGCCCGATCCGCATTTGATAGGCGGAGCTTCCTGTCGGCCATCTTGAGTG